TTCCAAAATTTGCACTTGAGATTTATGTTTAAAAATGGGATCGAAATTTAATCGAGTCTACTTATAAATATTGTAAACAAGATTTTTCATATTAATACAACCGCGGCTAGGGTTTACTCGGAGAATACATTTTGCAAGAAAATTCATCTATTTTATAAGATTTTATTATGACAGATCGATAACTCAGAGCCGTTAATCTTTTAACTAGTATTTAAAAATTAAATATTACTACAAATATTTTTTTATACTTTTGTTCTATTTGTGAAAAGGAAGTAAAAAGGAATAAGCTAAGAGGTCATTGTTTCAAGATGTTTCCTGGAAACATCACCAAGTGTACAACACTATCTAGATTCCATTTTCATCCCGTGTTTGATATTCATATTATTTTATATGGTATTCGATATTTCAAAACATTACCAGTACAACTTTTTTATCTCTCCCAAACTTCACTTATGAAATTTCACTAGATATGTTATTATCGTTATACTTATAACTCGAACTCGACATATCTAATTAAAAATAACGTGATTTTATTCATTTCACCGTAATCCTCGGCGGTTCAAATATGTATTGAATGAGTCACCTATCTTATTTTGTCCAATGCCTCGTGCAACATGTGTTAGCACTATATTTATTGTATATACTTTTTTCTATAGATATATAGGACACCCATATTTATGATTCATTGTCCTATTTTGTGTATCTTTTTTTTTCTCTTGAATTATTTCAACACGTACAGGCACATTTATTCTTGTTTGACAATAATAAATATTCTACCAACATAAGTTATGGCGGGATGATTTAGAATTTTTTATATTTAATCGGAAGTTTTGAGTTTAAATTTTTAAAAATAAAAATAATCAATTGGGAGTGTTTCCGCTAGAAATGTGTGTATAATATATAATTAACGAGAATTCAATAACCTTTGTATATGCATTAAGATATTTATTAAATATTTTACTATAAATTTAAATATATTATAACTTGAGATCACGGTAAGAATTTGTAGACTGCCTTAGTACGTAGTCTTTGTTGTGTTTCATTTGCTTATTACTAACTTTTCGCGATTAATCACATCTGACTCCTAAAGAATTTGATCCTTTTAATGATAAATATAAATTAACAATGACAACATTATTATCATGATTATTCAAACTAATGATTAAAAACACGTTTAAAGTATTATTATTTTCGCGAGTTTCACATATTAACTATAAATTGTTTTTTTTCTTGCATGAACTATCACTATATTTCATTTTCTTACCTGAACTATCATCATCTATGTATTAAAACACACATTGAAGTTAACTAAGTACGTCGACATCTATCTATTGTTTCGTTTTCATACCTTAACTATCATAATCTATTAAATTAAGTGTATTTTAATACGTAGAAAATACTTGTTCAAGTAAAAAAAAAAAAAGTAAACAACTGAAAATTATGATGTGAAACTCGCAAAAATATGATAATTCAATATTATTGTTATTATTAGTTGTGTGCTAGAGTGAAGTAAAGATAATATAAAGATTAAGGAGCACAAGTTGGTGGAATAAATTAAAAATATCAGATTATATGCTAAGCTTAATTAAAAACATTATTTAACAAGTCACAATTAATAGGCTATATATAGCTTTTAGGTGAAGGACTTATATATTATTTAAATCACAAATGGAAAATATAAGGACAATTCGAGAATATTATAGACCAAATCAACAACACGTTATTACTAATTATTTCTTATAATAAAAATAAATAATCCAAGCACTCAAAAAAGAATTTGGAGGTATGAATTATTATTTTTTAAATACTTTAGAGTCAACTAATTTGGGACCATGAACTCATATAAGTCATACTCTGCGGAATTTCCATTTAATTAAAGATAATATTTGTACTATTTTTGTTTCTCAAAATTGATTTACTATAGTTCCAATTTTATGTCAAACATGTGATTGGATAAATGAAATTCTAGAAAAAAACTTGACTTTTCTTGTGATACATTTTCTTTTATGTTGAATAAGTAAACGATCCAAATTAATCACTTTTATGTAGTTTTCTTGATGGTGATTTTTTTTTTGATAAGATCATAGAGATAGGGTATTACATATCAATCCATTTATGATATTTCTTTCTTCGTTCATTTTTATTTATTTAGTATTACAAATAAAGAGATGATGATAAAAAACACACCTGAACAATTACTTTCCAATGAGTTTCACACTTCAACTATCAAATAATTAATTTTGAGGTGTGTTTTAATTCATAGATGATAATAATTTCGGTAAGAAAAAAAAGAATAACTAATAATTAACATGTGAAACTGACAAAAAATAATTGTTCATGTGTGTTTTTTATTTTAACTCACAAATGAATTTTCATTTTTTATTTATTCACTTTAGTATATCGAAGAAAAAAACACTATTTATTATTTTGTTATTGGTATCAACTCACACATATAAGTATATCAAATCAATGAATATATAATCATTAATATGAATATACAATAATATCACTTAAACATTATGAATTAATATATATATATTCACTATTTAAATTATTTAAATACAAGAAATTACATAAATTTAGTATAAATAACTAATGATGATAAATACTTTTTTCGTCTCAAAATATGTCACGAGTAAAATGGTGTTACATTTTAAATAAATGGTACTACAACTTTAATGCCCCTTTATGTACTAGCCGCTACTTAATATGTCACGAGTAAAATGGTACAACTTTAATGGTGTTAGATTTTAAATAAATTGATGGAGGCCACGTGAATTTACCTTTCGTACCTTTATATATGTGGATATAAATCTATCTCTTAATTCTTCTCTTCTAATATTTTATCGTGATTCAAGAATAACGTTTTTCTCAAATAAAATAATGTGAATTTTTTTGAGATTATTTATTCTTCGTAAAAGGATTTTGTGGATTTTAAGTATTTGATTGTCAAGAAAAGTTCGGTCACATTTCACTATAATAAAAATAGTTTTTAGCGGCAATACATCTGTACATTAACAAAGAATGCTAGTGTCTTTACCGACATTAGTTAATTGGCATTGAATTTGATGTCGCTGCTAATTGCCTCTAAAAGAACACATCTAGTGGCAATTCAGCTATTGTTATTAATTAATTGTCGGTAAATATCATTTTTGGTGTAGTGTCTTGATATGATCTTTGTGATCAATATTTTATGAGTTTATAGACTTTTCGAGATGCATATTCAAGTGAGGTGGGGTTTAGGTAAATTAAAGTAGTATCCAAAAATCCTAATTGAATTAAAAACTTCTCTGGTAGAATCCCACAAAATCTCAAATGTAAACGCCCCATAATTTTGTAATGTTTGAAATAACAAAATTTTGTTTGACAAGTGGATTTATCGTAATTCAAGTCAATCGTCATTAAGTTATCGGCGGATAATGATAATTAGTTGATTATACTAATGAATAATTATATAAAGTCACTTGAAATTCTTAGATGGAAGTTAGAGGCTGAAGGGAGCTTTTGAAACAAAAATCTTAAGTGACGGTTTATTATAAAGAAGTTTTGACATAAAATATTATTTACGATTTGATTAGGAATGAGCATATCTTACAATATATAAGGAGTTAGAGGACATTTTACATAGTTCTACGGTCTAGTTTTCAACGGACTAAATCATTTGTCAACCTGACATCGGAATAAAGAACTATAACTATTTTACGACAGGTTGTCCAACCAAATCAGGTCACGGATCAGGTACTAGAACATAAATTAAGAAATACCAATTCAAATTGTGTATTTTTATTTGCAAATTCACTATCTTGATTTGATATAAGTAATACTTTCGTAATTAAGTTTATTTTGCCTTTCGAAAGAAATTCGAAGATTGTGAAACCTCATTTTCAAGCACCTTCAAAAATTGACCTTTTTTTTTCTTAGGATATATTTAGTAAGAATAGATTCAATAAAGGCAATTCATTTATTCATAGCTATCCAACGATATTTGTCGATCCAATTACTGATAAAATACCATATTAATAACCTCAACTTAACATAATCATCAACTTCGCTTCTCCTTAATTAACTTTCATGGTCATCCAATTTTAGATATATTGTGTCCTAAATAAATCTAACTATTATTATTTGAACTTTTAGAATATTTCTTTCCTAGAAGTTTACCACTATCACACTTTTAAATATGTATCAAAATTGTAACCAGAAAATATAAAATAAAATTAAGTTATTTTAATAGTCAATTACTATAAGTTGAAGGATTATTCAGACATTATTGAAAGAACAAAAGAAAAAAGAAACTAAGAGAAAGTTAACAGAAAAGAGAGTGAATCTTATTAGCTCAATTATTGACTATCTAAATTTTACATTGTACTATAGTGTGTAACCATTTCATTAAAAAAAAACTCTTACAAATAAATTGATTCTTTTTATAGACCAAGCATATAATTTATTTATTTTTTATATGAGTGATGGTATGATTCAATCTCAGCACCGGTCTCTCCACTACCCAGAGAAAAAAGAGTTCGCGGATGGATTGGCAACACTCCAAAATTCTGTTAAAATATATGATCATCTCATCTAAAAAGCGTAAAATATTAATTGTATTATTAACGGCTTGTTGATAAGTATTTGATTCCACAACTTCGAATCTCCTCCCTCATTTCCCTTTCTCCTACCCCCGAAAGGGCAAATATCGTAAATATAAAGAAGAATAAGGGCAATTTACAAAATATAAGGTAACCAAGGAACACGCAATATACAGTGTCTTTTTTTTTATTTTCCCAAGAAAGAATACAAAACGTGTTTGAAATATGTCTTTTTACTTTTTTCTTTTTTTGTTTTTGTCATTTAATTATTTCATTTCCTTTTCAAAATCAAACAGAAAAGTAATTCAAACAAACATGTGTTTCTCATTAATAATAAAAAAAAATTAAAAAAAAAACCCACAGCCCACCCCCTCTACCCTACCCCACCCCCTTATATATACACATTATACTCAAAACATTATTCTTCATCCAAACAGTTCACAAAAGCATTTCTTGCTATTTCAACTTTTCAAATATTTCATTTTTTGTTGCCGGAAAAACAAGATGGGGTCATCGGAAAATGTGGATTCCGGCAAGGTGACCGGACAGAAATCTCAGTTTTCTCAGACTTGTAACCTTTTGAGCCAATTCTTGAAGAAAAAAGGTTCTGTTGGAGATCTTAATAATCTTGGTATCTACAAAACTACTTTTGAACCAACCGGTATGTTCTTTTTTTTTTTTTTTGAAAAAAATGTAATTTTTTTAACTTTATAGATGTAATTTTAACTTAAACTGTTTGGCTCTCAAAAAACATAAAGTGTGCATAAATTGGAATAGAGGAAGTAGCTTTTTTTTTGGTTGTTGAAAGGATTTGTTCATGTTTCTGGTTGCAAAGATTGTAGCTTTTTTTGGTTTTGGGGAGTATTTGTTCATGTTTCTTGTTGCAAAGATTGTAGCTTTTTTGGTTTTTGAAAGGATTTGTTCATGTTTATGGTTGTAAAGATTGTAGCTTTTGGGTTTTTTAAAAGTATTTATTGTTCGGAAACAGCCTCTCTACCTTCTCGAGGTATTGGTAAGGTCTGTGTATATTATATCCTTCCCATAGCAACTACTGGTCGTAGATTTTGAAATTGAAACTTGAGTTTTTGAAGTTGTGTTTGGATGCGTATTTTACTTGAAAATAATTGAAGTTTTGTGAGTGAAAGACGAAAGTCTGGGATCAATTTTTGGGAACTTGAAAATATTTGAAGATCTGATCATATTTCATGATCAAGTAGATATTTGAACATTAAGTTTCAAAATTTATGTTTTTGGAAGTATTTTTCTCATGTTTCTGGTTGCAAAGATGAGCTACAAGTTTGTTAACGAGTTCAACATAACTCAATAGTTTTGGTCAAAACTTTTTATTTGTGTTTAAAATTTTTACTTAATAGGTAAATAGTACTAATTAATAGAACAATAAACTATCTTTTCTGAAATTTAGAACTCATAAAATCGAGATCCTAACTCCGCCTCTCCTTTTTGGTTTTTGGAAATAGTTTTTCATGTTTATGGTTGCAAAGATTGTAGCTAATCTAAGCAGGGCGGAGCTACAAGTTCAACACAACTCAATAGCTTTTGATCAAAACTTAAAAACTTTTAAACACAAATACAAACAGTTTTCTTGAAAATCCTTATAAACTCGAAATTCTAATTCCGCTATGTTCTTATGTTTCTGGTTACAAAGATTGTAACTTTTTCATTTTTGGTTTCTGAAACTGATGAAACTTTCCATGTTTCTTGAAAACAGGATCTCAACAAACAGCTACCACCACTACAACTACTATGAATTTGTTGCCAATGATTGAGAAATCAAGTGATTCATCGTCGTCATCGTCGTCCGTTGAAACAAATCCTCAAAAACCCATGAATCTTTTCCCTCAAGAATTTGATTTCTCCAAAGAACAATCCACAAAAAAGACTGAATCTTGGAAATTTGATCAACCAGAAAAGGCACAAATGACCATTTTTTATGGTGGACAAGTCATTGTTTTTGATGATTTTCCAGCTGATAAAGCAAATGAGATCATGAAATTAGCCAACAAACAAAACCCCACAAACAACTTCACTTATACTATGATGAAGAATCAAAAAACATCTGATCAATCTGGTGCAAATTTTGGTAACAAATTGATTCAAGAACTCCCAAAGTGTCAAGTGTCAATGCCACAGCCTTCTGTTGCTGATTTACCAATCGCGAGGCGGAATTCACTTACAAGATTCTTGGAGAAAAGGAAAGATAGAGTAACATCAATTGCACCATACCAAATCTCCAGCAACAAGAAATCCAAGAATGAGGAAAACAAGGCATGGTTGGGATTAGGTGCTCAATTTGTTAAAACTGAGCAATACTTTTAGTTACTATTCTTGGATTTTCATTTTTTGATGATTGAAGAAGGGGAGTCTTGACGTGACGTAACTGGTAAAGTTAGTGTTATGCGATCAAGATGTATCAGGTTCGAGCTGTGGAAAGGTGTCAGAGCTTAGTACACCAGATTGACCTGAAGATTATAGGCCTATTGCTTTGATATACTACTATTAGATGACCAAGTTTTTGGTTTTTTTTTTTCTTTCTTTTTTTGGTTGGATTCAAGATTGATTGAAGCCACTTTGATCTAACTATGAAATATTATTTTTAACATTTTTTTGTAATCAAGACTAAGGATGTTTGTTGTTAAGTACCTCATATCATATATATATGTACTATTATTTAAACTCATCAAGGTTCATTGCTTTTGTTTTTAGTGTCTTAAGTCAAGTTACTTTGTCTTTCTATTTGTATTTGTGTTGTGATTTTCTTGTATGGTCTTGGGTTTTTTCTTGAAATAAAGCAATAAATTGATATCATTTTCAAGATTTGAACTTATGGGATGAGCTCAAAGTACTGCTCGAACTCTTCAAAAATGTAAATCGGGGTCGTGTCAATCCTTCAATAGTAATACACTTTGGAGGATCTAACACGAATACAACATCATTTTTGGAAATTTTGAGCAACATACACTTAAATCGTAGGTTCGAAAATCATACAAGATCAGAGTTCAAATTCTAATAGAAACATGAATTGTTAGGTGATTTATTTTAACCTTGATGTGTCAAGTTATTAAGTGTTTAGTGAAATAGTCAACTTACACAACCAACTTGTCTAGACATCACCATTATAAAAAAAAAATGCATATACAAAATAATATGAACTTAAAAATGGGAAATGGAAATAATAATCAAACAAGGTACACCTATTTGTAGGGTAAGGTCAAAGATGCCTGCTAGAAATTTTATATTATGATTTATAATTTAATATGTGTTTCACATGATATGTTATATTGTATAATTGGTTTGGTATGACCATATTGTTGGCCTCCAATAATTGACCAAATACATAATTTCAGAAAATTTTGCACATTTTACTTTGTTCTTCTTGGCCAAACTCTAATAATGTTTACAATACCCAATTAAAGTCAGAAATTGGTGGCTTTTCTTCATTCAATTAAATGCACTCATTATCATTACGAAAATGAAATGACGTCTTGATTTGGTACGAGATCAAGACTCCTTACGATTTACATCAACGATAGTATTGAGTGGCAAGAGATTGATTGAAATGGCAGATCCAAACTCTATAATAACATATATTTCATTTACCAATTTCCTATTTTTTTTAAATTCAATTGAAAAGGCCATTTAGCTAAAGAACATTTGTAATGTGACCATAAAACATATTTATCTCCCCTCAAATTTGACCAAATCTTCCCCTTCATATTCTTACATTCAACC